AATCTCACAGAAGCGCATTTAACTATCGGGCTTTTGGACAAGAATTATGGGACTTCAGCAGCAAAAGCGCATTTAACTATCGGGCTTTTGGACAAGAATTATGGGACTTCAGCAGCATAGGCGCCAACTCTGTGGGTGCTCAGGGGATGGATCACCCACAGTGAAAAAATGGCAGGTGCTGAGCACCCACTGACAGCCCCCCTATTGGCGCCTCCCCCTCCCCCCAGCGCCTACTGCTTGCCGTGGATCAGCTGTTTCACGGTGTCAGGAGGCGCTGGGGGTGGTGGAAGGAGCAAGGGCGCAGCGTGCACAGGGGAGGGAGCGGAACTGGATGTGCGCGGGAAGAGGCGGGGGCAGAGCAGGGGTGAGAAGATGCACGGCAGGGGTGGGGCATTGGGGGAAGGGGTGGAGTGGGGCAGGTGGACTTTAGAGTCTACTGGGCCAAGCTGGCAATCACTTCAAAATGCCCTTGTCCGCTGACTAGCAATTTGGATTTCATACTGGAGAAGAGAAACAGTATTTGACCACTGGGTTGGAAGGTCTGTAGGTGTGCACCTTGGCTGCATGTTTGTTCTTGTGTCTGCTGAACCCTAAACAAGTTTTCATGAGCAAAATCCCCTAGCTTCTTCAGGTGCTCCCTTAGTTGGAGACCATATAGAGCTGTGTTGGATGGCTTCAGGTCTTACCTTTCCCAATCCTCACACAGGAGGTCTAATATTCCTTGAAACTGGTGCCATATAACTGTTGGAAAGGAGAGACCCTAGTGAAGTCTTGTGGTACCTCCCTTATGGTGAACAAAATGGGAAGAAGTAGCTAGTCCCAATGCTTGGCACCGGAGGCCCCATCTTCTTAGTATCACCTTCAGCATTTTGTTGACTCTCTTAACTAATCCATCCATTTGTGGATGATAGATGGTGGTCCTCAGTGACTTGATCTTCAGTAGAGAGCATAGCTCCTGCATAACCTTGGATGTAAAGTGGTCTCCTGATCCATCAGTGTTTCTCCAAAGTTAGGCACCTCAGTCCCTGTGTCTGGTACCACTCCAATCCATGACATTTCTGATAGGCTAACTTTCACACTGCTGCATCCCTCTAGGTGTCTAGATACCTATATACCACCTAAACCCCAGAGCAATTCACAAACTAGAGGATGAAATATGTTTGGACTCCTAAGTCGATGCAGGACCCAATCCAGTAGGCAGCCTCTGAGCGTGCCTCCTGGATTGGGCCCCGTTCTGGCCAGAGAAGTGGTGGTGCCCAACTTATAACTTTTAGCCAAGTGGTTTGAGTACTCACCTGGGACGTGGGAGACCCAGGTGCAATTCCCCACTCTCTGGCGGAGGGGGAGAAAGGATTTAAACAGGGGCCTTCCCGCATCTCAGGAGCATGTTCTAACCATTGAACTATGGGATATTCTGTGAACCTCTCTTGTTGAAACTGCTCCAATAACAGGGGATCTGGACCTGGGATCTTCCACCTCCCATATGGGTACCCTAGCCACTGGACTACAGAATTGTTCTCTCTCTCTCTCTCTCTCTCACACACACACACACTCAAGTGGAACAGTCATTGGGCCAGAGAGAGAGAGTGAGCATACCATCTCATGGTAAGGTGTGGCAGTACAAGCATCATGTCTCAGTTTCCCTCTTGGTTTTTCCAATAACTCATTTGCAGGCAGGCATATTTAACACCATTCCCCTGTTTGTGGTCTGTCTTTTTTACTAACTAATAGAGGGGCTGCTGCATGTTGTAGCATCTGGGACTTTCATGCCTAGGTGGAATGTGTTATATAAATTTTCCGGAAGGAGAAGCTGTATAGATCAACATGTCTAGGTGCTCCTCTGAGAAAAACCTCAGAATGGCCATATTGGGTCAGACCTATGGTCCATCTAG